AGGTTCTCCAGCTTCCTCCCACACAGTCCAAAAACATGTTGAGGTTAACTGGTGATTCTAAATTGTATGACTCCAGCCCCCTGCGACCCTAGTGGATGGATGGATGGATGGATGGACTTACAGCAGTAATACATGGTGCTGCCTTCAGAACAGACCAGTCACTCCTTTATGTAGAGCAGCTGCCCAGTTCAAACCGACCAATCAGGTCGGAGCCCTAGAGGGGCATCGACCAAGTTAACAGCAAATAAACATGACTTTCTGAAGATTCGTCCAACAGCAATGACTCAGTTTATAGACACACAATCAATCATCAGCACTGAACATCTATAATGAACAAAACATTCCTGCTTCCTTCAGTTTTTACCTTAATGACTTTGAATTTCATCACACGTCTATTGTCCAATCAGATTCGAGACCCCGCCCACTCATCGACCAATAAAAGAGCTAATTGGCTCTTCTTTCAGCTGCAGAACAAGATGGTTTCCACACACATCTAAAGACATAAACGTGACTTGAAGAAGACGTATAATTCAGTCGGTTACAGCTGGATCTAGTGAAATTAATCTAAGTCAACAGAAACCCAGATGATGTGGGCCGAGTGTCCACATTTCTACACCAAAGCCCTGCATGCTGTCAGGTAGAGCACTACTGCCTCAGAACAGTCTGTTAATAGCAAATATAAAAGTCAATTCTTATATTTTCTGCACACTAAAAATGAAAAAAAACAAAGTTGTAAAACAAACAAGTTTCTCAGTAGCTGCAGAACAAACGATTCTGTGCTAAAGCCAGGTTTTATTAGGCACTAAAAGTAAAGTACACCCAAAAAATAAAGGCGCTAACCGGAACCAAAAAGGGTTCTTCACCGTGGGGACGTTGTGGAACCATTTTTAGCAAGAAGTTCTTTGAAGAACTGCTTCTGCAAACAATAACTACTTTCCTTCTGTTTAATAACCTCATTTGAATGGAACAAGCAATTTTTCTAAATCAATTAGTTTTTGAGCATTTTAAATTGAATATGAATAAACTATAGCTGCAGGCAGGTTAACGATGTTCCTTTTTATTTCACTCAATTAAAGATAAGGTATTAAAAATGTAGGTCCGCGTGTTGGCCAAACACAAACTCAGTCACGATGGAAACACAAATGAGCTCCAATCCAAAGTAAAAATCAATAAACACTGAATGCATTTGGTCGTAAAACACAAGATTACAGTCAGAAATGTTTATCATGGTTTCACAGATTAGTTCGTGCAGATTAATCAGTCAGTGTCGCCGCTTGCTGATTAATTGATAATGAAAATAATGAGTTGCAGCTCTAATTTCGTGCCGCCAAATAGAAGCATAATGAAGCAACACATTCAATAGATGATGAACCTTCCCTTAAATATAGACGCTCTTCAGTTGGCAATGATGCTGTCAGACATTATTTTTCAGGAGTAATGTCGTGTAAAGTTTTATTTCTCAAGGTTCTTGACTGGTAGGCTGTTCTAAGCATCCTGGAGAACTTGCTTCAGGTTGTCTCAGAAACCCCGATTACAAAAACGGTGATACTTCAATGGGCCTTTGGTATAAACGAAGCTACACGTCACCGAAAACGATCACGTCTGACAACTCCGGCCAAAGTGGAGATTTGGAAAAACTGTCTTTGCGTTTGCATGTAGACCAGAGACGGAGTTTGACGTCACAGTGTGCGACAAAAGTGTCACATGTGTGCGACCATGTTTACAGTTTGGCTACATAAATATACTTGGACAGACATGTTTCCCAGTCAATAATTTCAAGTATTTTGCTTGGTTTGTCCTCTACCACCACATTTAGTAGCAGCTCCACTTCTCTGGCGGTTCAAACAAACGACCCTCGCGCCATTAGCATTGAAGAAACAGGAAGTAATTTGTGCCATTCGTTGTTGTCTTTTTTCCAGGATTTTGATTGGCTAGCATGGTATTATGCTTCTCGTTACACTGCCCCCTACAGGTTTGGCAGCTCATTGCAGCTCGTGTTAATGCGGGTTTGTGTAAATGTAAAACGATCTGGTGTAAACAAACCGTTTTTGTAAATACCCGGCTACACATAAACGTGGTCTCAGTGTCTCGTCATGTAATCGGTGTCTCCATGATGCAGATATCAGCGCTCTGTGTGAACCACCTGTTGCAGGACTCCTTGTTCTTGATCTCTAGCTGTATGTTTGGGTTTGTTGTGATGCTGCAGGATGATGTGGATCAGTGGATCATCGCCTCCCTGATGTAGCTGCTTGATGGTGAAGAATCTCACCTGAAGTGAATGAAACATTAAACTCCTGCTAAATGGTCCCACTTTACCAAACACCACCACAGTTTGGCCTAAATACGACCCGAGTGGAAGATCCTCGACTCTCTTACTCAGAAGGAAGATCTGCCGTTCAGACGAAACAACCGAAAACAAACGCTTAGAGCTTTTCTGAATCATCTGCGGCCGCGCGAACGCCGCTTTGCTCCCGGCGGCGTCTTAGCGATGCTCATTTATTCCGACTAAGTCTGAGCTGCAGAGTGGGAGCAGGTGGCTTCTGGGACTTTATTAAGAGCATTAGGCTTTCAAGGGAAGTCTCCCTCCAGGCGAGGTACACGCATTTTGTGACATGATCAGTTGAGGAAATCAGTGGAAGGAAAGCCTAATTCATTTTTCTGGCAAGTGGAAATGTAGAAAGCCTCTAATAAGATCCGGCTAAAAGGCTCGGAGTGCACTTTCTGCTCCGTCTGAGTGTACGAAATGAAGAAACTGAGTGTGACGAGCAGCAGTTTTGTCTCTCTCTGGTCAGCAAATTGAAGTGAGCCGCTCTGAGACGAAGCCTCCTGTGAAGCGGCCGTTCTGCAACATCTGTGCGTCCCGAGATGATTAATGGCATAAAGCATAATCCGTCTTGTGGAGATGTGACGCCGGGCGAACGTCTGAGAGGCAGACGGCGGGTTCTGCAGTGCGGCCTCTCCCATAACGTCGAGGTGAGAAGGATGACAATGGGCCGGGCGCAATCAATCTGACCTCTTATATAATCAATTTTTACTGTTATGTAACGGTGCCGCGGCAATTATCGGACGCAGTCGTCTCACTGTGGGTGGCGTTACGGAGGGAATGCTGGGAGGGTGTCCACGTAGAAGCTTTATGGTTTGATCGAGTCACATGAACAGAAACCAGCTTCACCGACTCAGCCTCCCAGTCAGTCGGACTCTTTGTGATCATATTAAACGGTGTGCGTCTGAATCAACAGCTGATCAGAAAAGAAATGTCAAACTCACGATTCATAGCTGTCAGAAAATGTTCTCTCTCTTGCAAGACAAGGAACTCGCAATACAACTGTTTTTCTATTAAATATTCAGCATTTTTCTGACTATCTGTATTTTATTTTTTAACTTATTCCCAATAAAAGACATTATTTTAATTCGATGCAGCCAGTTGTCCCGCCTAAAGCACCGTCTGATTGGTTACACCCCACAAATAACAGCCAATCAACAAGTTTCTTCAGTTTCTTGGTGTTTTTTTTACTCACTGTGGCTCGTTTTTCATCATAAAGTCCTGCAACCTCAACGGAAACAGAACAGCCATAAAGAAGGAGAGAGGACTCCTAAGACACAGTTATAAATTATAAAAAAAAAGAAAAAACAAATGTTGAATTCAGTTTTTTGTTGCACATGATTCCAAGTTTTTGGGGGGGTTTTTTTTGGTAGAATATTTTCCAAAATCTCTGCAGGTGTCACCAACCCTGGACCTAAACGGAGACCCTACCCGCTATAGATATTTTACTGCTGATAGTTTTCATTAGTTTGATGTAAACTCTGAGTACACTGCCTGCAGTTCATCTGAAAAGCTGCTGAGTTTCTTGTCACATGACTACTGGTGCAGGAGAGTCGATCATGGTTTTCTGGTTTTACTTTTATTTATTGAAAGAGACACGTGGAGCTGGTTAAATATATTTAAAGCTTTGATTCGGTTGAGTGTCCTGATAGAAAAACAGGACAAAAATCCAACAGTTCCTTTTGTTTTTTGTAGTTTGTGGCTCTTATTAATTGTGGAATTCTAGCTATTTATTTCAAAGACTGTGATTTTTAAACCCATCGCTGGGTTTTAGGCGTCAGAAGGTTAAACAAACACATGAAACACAAATAAACAAAGACTTTTCCACAAAGTTTATCAGTGAAGTTTGTGTTATTTTAAATTTTGACACCAGAATTCTTGTATTTGATGCAATTTTATGTGTGATTATCAGTTTCCTATTGGCCCTGAACAAAACTCATCCCTACAGGTTAAACTATTCGCAGTTAACTATTAAATAAAAGTGGAAGTTGAGAGGAATTTAGAGTCATTAAAGCTCCTTTCATTCTCTCGTAGTTTTGGTTTTTAATATAAAAACATCCAAAAGTTCTCAATCTGATGAATCCTGACTCTTTAGCAGTTAATCCACTGATGATTTTCTCGATGAATCAGTTGATTATTGGTGGAAAAACGTCCGTCACGAGCTTTAGATGTCATTTTTTGTCCCCCCAAAACCCAAATACGTTCATAGAAGGAAACCCAGATAGATGCAACCTGAGAACTTCCAGAACTTTCACCTTCAGCGACTGAGCGTCCCGATCCGCACCGCGAGCTCTGCATAACCCTGTGTCATCACACGGCGTGGACTCGTCCACCGCCTGTGGACGGCCACGCTCATCCCTGTCCACAGTCAACTCCCTCCACATTGTGCCGGTGACCCTCGTTTCATTTGCCATAGTCTTGTGGAAATGTCTTGAGTCTATGTTGTTGTTCTTGTTAGACAGCCCCACACACACACACACACACACACACACTCGTTAGCATTTTCCATCATCATAAGGTAAAGTCTGTTCTGTAAGATGCCCCGGATGGAGGCAAAATAATCATAATAACAATAATAAAAAAGCACTGAGTTGTCCAACTGTCACACTGACGCTCGCCGTTGTTGATCTCACTGTTGTAGGGGAAAGACTCTAGGGCTGCAGATAAGACTGTTGCCATGGTCCTGAAGGAGATACCAAGTAAGGCGTCATCAGAAGGGAAGCCCCTCCTCACAGTGACTACCAAGGTGGGCAGATCCATTCCAGAAACACCCCCCCTTCCCCTCCTCATGTGTTGCAGCATTAGCAAAAAGCTCTTGAGTGTCCTCCAGCCGACCTCCACTGTCTACTAACTCATGACTGAGCCTTCTGACTGTTGTCTCTAACAACGACGCGACATATTTCATCCTCCAGCTGCTCTATGGGGTATAAAACCCGCCGCACCCACCACCACTTGGAACAATCACCCAACACGAGTAGCCTTCGAAATTGCTGCAATCCATCCATGTGGCTCCTCCAATTATCCTCTGCAAAAGATTCAAAAGTATATTTAGCGCCGTGTGGCTGGGTGGGTGGGGATTAACGAGAGGGTCACCACAAATTCCCCGTCCCATTCCTAATCAGGTCAGTAAAACTTCCTCATGAACTTTTTTTTTCTTTTTCTTTTTTACACCTCATAAGCAGCTAAACAGCGAGTTTTCCCAGAATGCTGTGCCACACAGCATGGCATTGAGCGACTGATTGACTTCTTCTCTGTACTAAATACTGCAGGAACACGACCCCCCACCACCACCCGCTGAGCTTTTCACTTCTTCTTTTTTTTGCTTTTTTTTTTAAAGTGTTGTAGCTTTTGGATGCGAGTCGGCGCTCCAGATGGCGATATGAGTTTTTTTTCTTGCTCTGTGCTTGATTGCTTCTGTACAGTGTGTGTGCTGCTGCTGCTGCTGCTGCTGCTGCTGCTGGTGTGTGTGTGAGTGTATATCCGTCTGTGTGTTTTTAATAACCTGTGGCATGCTTTATACTCGTCTTATTTTCTAATACAATGTCTGGTTTGATAAGCTGTCACACAACCGAGATAATGCTTCCGCTCAAGTGGGAGGATGCGATTACGGCTCAGGAATCTGCTGAGTTAACGCTGACGACGCACCGCTAATGTGTGTGTGTGTCTTTAAAAAAATAATAATAATTCAGCTAATCTGCAAAATCATTATTTGTCACAAGTGAAATGGTTGTATTGGGAGAGTCAGTGGCATCCAGTGAACGGTTCGGTGCACTTAAACTTGATTTTCTCCTGAATTTTTCATTTATTTAAAAATAAATAGCAAAAAAAAAAGAACACAAAATGAAAAGAAAGCCCCAAAAGCTGAAGTATATGGCGAAGCTTAACTTGTCTGTACATCTCATATCGTACTGTTTCCTGTTTGTTCCACGTTATTATGTTTTATTAGAACAGAAAAGAAGATTTTTATTCTCAGCATCTCTGTATATCCAGGACATACAGAGGAACCGACAAGATGTTTCTCTCTCATCTCCGTATTAGTGCCATACAATAAAAAAAAGAATCAAAACACAGGATAAATAAAATAAAACCTATAAAAATCAGCCTAGAGTGCAATATAGTGACAGCTTATTGTTGAGAGCTGTTGTTGTTTTGTAGTTTTCCAATTTAGAAGCAGGTCAGACGTGATTAGAAAGTTTAAAACCCAACAATTCTTTGTGTTTTTTTTTATCTCTGGCTCTTATAAATGATGTAATTCTGCCTATTTGTTCCCAAAACAACCTGATTTTCAAACCCGTCGCTGGGATTTTGGGGTTTGGAGGGTTCAATTAAACACGTAAAACATAAATGACACCAGAATTTTCTTTTTTTAATGCAGTTTTATATCAGTTCCCAACTGTTAATTTCAGTTTCCTTGATTATGAATAACTAAAGGTGTCACACCTGGAGGAAAAAAGCGTATCCAAGAAATGATTTGCAACTCTCTCCTAAACAATAGCCGACATGTTTCTTGTTTATTAGGATCCCCATTAGCACCAGCATAAGCATCGGCTATTCTTCCTGGGGTCCACACACATACGCACAATCTCACTTATACACACAACAACAACAAACAAAACAAAACGTAACAACTCGTCTCGTGAACTTTACAAAATAAGGAAGAGAAACAAATTGTCATTCACTGTATACACTATACATTAAATCACATACAGAACTATGGATCCATCATTATTAATCTGGAACGCATAATTCTTCATCATAGACATGCAATCAGAATGACCTTACACAACATCTTATCAGTCCAGTTCTTCAACCAATTGTATCCAAGAAAATAGGGCAAATTGCGTTCTATATTCTTTGCTCTCACAAGCATTACATTTTATGTGATCAGTTTTTTGTACATTTTCTTAACTCTGAGACCATCATCCAGACTCTTGAACCCACAAGCTGATAAACATTTACTCATTTTATAGAAGAAAGTGGCTTTTTTTTTTTAATTCAAACTTCCTCTAAATTCATAGTTTGTTCAGGAAGTAACTTGTTTTTTTCTTTGACTTCCGCCACGCTTCATGCCACATGACAATTTAAGCCTTCAAATGTGTTTTGTTCGCCCGAGCGGCTGTGAATTACTGTAATCCTCGAACACACCTGAAAACACGACGTTAAGCGGCGGCTGAGTGGCGTTCAAGTCGCTGCTGTTAAGTGACGCTTCAGATCTGCAGAACAACAACATGAAAACTATCACCGCATGTATGCAACTCACTACAAACAGGAGCACGGGAAACGGGAGAAAGCTGCACCGCTGCAAGTAAACATTGTTTTTCTAAGAGCAGCTGGTAAATATTTTATGCCTGAGCTGGGTAAAGGAAACCATCTGAAAAAGCTTGTTTGTTTTTCTTTCTCGTGCACAAAAGTTGTATCCGGATACTCAGATCGTCAGGTTCAGAAGTCAAGTCTGTGACTTTCAGATGCTTAAAGTGAACCTAAACTGTAAATGCTTGATGTGGCGGCCGGACGCGGCGCTGATTAAAGTGCTCTCCGGTGGCTCAGGCTGCAGTCGGAGAGGCTTTGATGTCACTTAGCGGTGACAGAGGCTAAGTCACAGGCTGCAGCTCCTCGCGCCACATGTCAAGTCCAGTCAAGTCTATTTGCGGAGTCCGATATCGCAAACGACGCCCCGACGGGCCTCGGAGGCCTCGGAGCAGGCCGGGAAAAGTTTGCACAAAAAAAAAAAAATGGAAGCAACAAGATGAAAATCAGCAATTATTTATGAACACTTCTGCCACTGAGGAGAACTCAGCATTAAGATAAAATAGTTTATGAACAACAACCTCTGATTTGTAGCTCAGATATCTGTAGCTAGCTGTCAAACACACGTCTTCATCTCTACAACATCCAAACCACGTGTGAAGTTAAAGATTGTGCTGCTTGAAGGACGATACATAAACACACAACAGGGATCCATAACAAGGCACTGGCTGGTTTCTTCATTACAAAATTATTAATTAAAATTTATTTCCACTCTAAATCACAACGTTCTAAAGGTTCTATCCACCACTAGAGCTCCTACTAATCAATAAATCTTTTAATTATGTTTATGATTTTCCTCCAAAATAGCAAAATGACCATTTTGTTTAAGTTTACTTTGTTTTGACAGACTTTATGTGGCGGTTTAAAGCAGCACCGTGTGAAATAGAAGCAAAGATTTATGTAATCAAGTCAGAGTTAAACTTAAAACTCCAACATAAAAAAAATACATAAATAAGAAGGATTATTATTTAATAGTTCAACACCAGAATAAATCTGCTTCTATCTGCTTGTTACCTAAAGTGCAACGTGGACGCTTAAATATTTTACAGCAGCTAAAGAAGCTTATTTTCTTTTCATTGTGTGAACTCGAGTCTGAGTTTGTCAGAAGACTTTGCAGTTACAAAATCAGGATTTTCATGCAGCAGCTTGGTTAACCTGTAGCCACACTTCTATCACTGATTTCAAACTCAAACCTGTAAATGAAAACAGCTTTACTGTGAACTCATATGTAATAAAATACAGTGAACATGAGCACAGGGAGCAGGAGAGAAGCTGTAAATGTAAAGTTCCTCCTGTTTGTTTGCTCTTCAGGTGTTTCTGTTGCTGTGATCTTTATAAATTAACTCCTTTTTTCTGCTTTGAAAACTCAAACTTGTCCCAGACTCTCAAAGTTCTTGGTCTTCGGAAAGGTTCCCATTTAAGCGAGTTGGACTTTGCTGCAGCCGTCATTATCTGACACTGAAGCTCCGACGGCAGCTCGAAACAGAAATGATCAAAATCATGATGATTTTGCAGTGATTCTGAAGAAAAACATTTGTTATAATGAACTGAAGGAGAATTAAAGTACCAATGTCACTGCATTTTTAGTGTCGACGTCATCGACTATGCCGAATAATCGCAGGAAGATAAAATTAGACTTTATTAATCCTGAAGGAAATTATTCTTCCAGATATCTCTGAGAAAAAACAAAATGACAAACGAAATGCAGAAAAGTAGAAACTCAATAAGATATAAGAACAATACAGCACTGAAATAAAATAAGGGAACTAAAACGAGGCTGGAAGGTAATACTGATTACCTATAGTAGCTCTTTATACCACATTCACTGGATGTAACAGTAAAGCAACCAAACTCTCACACTCAGCTGAAATGAAATGAATGCACAGAAACACACACACACATGATATAAATATCTTATTCTTTGTCTCAGGGCCACTTGCACTTTTGCTTTTATAATACAATTTGGGAGGTCTCTTAGAACAGTGAAACTCAGATTATAGAGCGAGTGTGACCCAATTTTCTGCTAACGATACACTATATAAATATATTTATATAAATGTATGACATCTGTATTTGCTAAAATCTTGCATAAGGACAGTTTAGTAGTGAATACGTCTCATTCTACAGATGAAATAATCTAGGCAAGAAATCTGCTCGTCTTAGGGTCATATTTATGATCAAACTCTGGAGCTCACTCTGTGTTTATGAATGCAAAATGGAGGACGAACGGTTTCAAAGGGAGGAACTCACAAGCACACATGACCAGACGTAGAACAGAGAAACTCACATTACAGAGCAAGTATGATCTAATGTGCTGCTGTAGAACACCACTGAACCACCGTACAAAAACCTGTTTGTCGTTATATTAATTCTGTATTTATGTTTAATATGGTTTGTACTGAAACTTTACCAAAGCAGCAAATACATATGAATCCACAG